AATACGGTGGCAGCGATGGGGTGAAATGACTGAAACTGGCAGATGAGGCAATGATCCTACGGAGCAAGAGGGGACTCTGATAGAACCAGAAGGGAGAGGATTGAGGATTAAACTGCAGCCTTGGATCTATACTCTCGACACAGTGTGAGGGATGAGGAAACCAGCGGGGAGTGTGAATAGATTTCAAATAGGCCTAGACAAACAAGTAAGAAATTATGATATTAAAAGGGAGATACGAGGATATAGGTTGAGGTGAATAGGCCAGGAGAGAAGGAGACCAAGTTGCGAAAACAAGGTCAAACAGCTTCTATACGATACTTCTTTTTTCATAAGTAAATAGGTTTTCTAGACTACCATAAAATTAGACATATGAGTTGTGTTTATTCTGGTAATTGTATTTTCCGATAATGATATGAGTATTGTTGATGCTCTTGCTTTCCCAAAATATGATCTCATCTAGGAGAAAAGCAAGTCTATGTGAATTTCAATGGAACATATCGGCTCTACTCGTATCATTCATACCACCAATTCTTCATCACCCTACGCGAGATAGGGTGAACACATGTCATATATCTGATTTACTGGTAGTCTCGAAAACCTACTCATTCACGAAAAAAGATAGAACCGCCTGAATCGAGTGTTCTGTTCATTTTTTTGAGTATGTCTTCCAATCTGCCAGTATGAACCGTGTTCAACCCATTTCGTTTAAGGTGATGAAATTCTGGTAGTTGAAATGGTCCACACTGATATGGGTAGGCATAATGTTTCCATTGAATTTCGCGTAGCCTTGCCTACGCAAGGCTATACGCATTCAGGGCGGACTAAAGATTCCACCTCGCATCGGTCTTACCAACACCCCAGACGGACTCGAACCACGATCGTGCCTCGTGCAATCTCGACACGTCAACCACTGCGCCATGTGTACTCATCTCATTGTAGGAAAGTTTAACTACAAATCCTTCGTCATCTTAAACGAAATAGGATGAACACAGTTCATGGTATTCCTTTCTACTTCAATTTATTTCATGAGCGTGAAGTGAAAGTCACAATTTACCCGAATAAACAAAACTGGAAGAAGACATGTTTTCACCGCAGAATCTCTTCGTACCATGCCTGCTGAAGTCGAGCCTCTTTCAGAATGGACTGCAGTCTCGTCCTCGCCCGAGTCCTATGGCCTATTCAAACGGGACTCGAACCCAGCCCAGATGGCTTCAGAAGCAACGCGCCCCTGTAGCTATCGGATACCGCGGTTGGTGGGGACCTTAGAAACTCGGCTATCGGAACCTGCTCGGCCGGTGACCTCGTCGGGACTGGGTCCCAATCCGGACGGCGGACGTCAAGTCTACAGCAGACTCGTGGTCTCTTTGACATTTTGCCAGACTACACACCCGCCGACAATGTGACTGGTAGTCTCGGTACACGATTTTGCGTCCCACCCGGTCCGCCGAGCCGCGGATGTGTGCCACCAGAGCCAGATTTGGCTGCCCGCTCCATGACAGGAGGGCGGGCAAGACAAGATGGGCCATTTTGGCCGCCTGTCCTTGGGCCCCGAGGGACTTGGACAGACTAAGCGACGGGATCTTTCCTAAACCGACCAGCAACAACTTGTCTCTAGTCCGCTGGTCCAGCCATGGCAACTAAAATGTCTGCAGCATAAATATTGCCGTTGGGGCCGGAGCACTGACCGGAATGGGCTGGTTTATCTCGGCAGCCAAGATGGGCTCCGTCTGATAAGGCACTGTCTGAGGGTATGGAATCGGATGTTGTAAACACTAACTCTCGGAGATATTTGGGTCAAAATGATTTTACCTCTGGTCTGGCCGCAGAACCCTTTGATTGTATACATTTGCCGATGTTGGCATGTGGACCGAGAAGAAGAAGCCTTGTCTGGCGTCCTCGGCTGTAGCACCGGACCCATATTTTTGGTACAATAAAATCGCGTTTCGCTGGCAATTTGGCCAACCGGCATCAGCGGAGCTCTTTATGAGCCTTAGGATCGAGGTTAAAGTCGCCGAAGCGACAAGAAAAGTTCGTCCCTTGGCCCATTTTTGTCCTGGTGCCTCCGCCCATTCAATATCCACTCTGTGCGCTTGTGTGGCGAAATCAAACTCCCCGTTGGTTGTCCAGACGGACGCTGTTGGTGACCCGGTGTGTTGTTAAGTTGAGTCCAAATATACGATTTCGAATAAGCAAAGAATGTTACAATCGCATTGTCCATTTGATTAGGTATTTGCGATATAGTCAGCAACTCAACAGCTTCTAGTGGCATAGCGATTAGGTCTTGAGCAATAATGTTACTCCTTCTATACCTCGTAAAATGGTTTAAAACTATATTTTTCGATTTAAGTATTGTTTTCGTGACTACCTTTAAATCAGTAGTATGAGATGTAGCCGAGTGGTTAGCGTGTCATGCTCCCATCCTGCACTGTCGCGGTTCGACCGATGCGAAGTCGAAACTGCAGTCCACTCTAGCCGGGATGAGAACAACTTTTGGGAAAGCAAGGCAATGTGAAATTGAATGGAAACGTTAGCTCAACTCATATCATTGT